ATCACAATAATAATTTTATTGGTTCAAAGTCACTAGTATTTAACATGAAAAAAAAAAGTCCAGAAAGTCTATACTATTTCTAATTACAAAGGGAAGCAATTCAGTCCAGTGACATCATAAATAATTTCTGCACACAAAGTCAGATGGCATTCTGAGCCTCAACTTTTATTTCACTATATTAACTAGTTTTTTGAATTTTCATATACTTGTATTCTGATTGGTCATCATAAGTTATGTAACAAGGTTTCCCCTATTGAGGTGATTGGATTTGGTTTTGAATTTTCAGAAAAACTCTTTATTTTGCAATCGAAACCATCACTTGATAAGACACCAGAAGTGTTGAAACAAAATGGCTATTTTTGTAGTGATGTTATAACATGCTTATGTTATAATTTTTGAATAAATATATTAACCAGTCTCTCAATTGAGCTGATGTAATCCAATTCCTCAATCATATGGTTAATTATAAATCCAGTTTCATTGGTACTTTACAAACATGTTCTGATCTGTGAAGAGGAATTTGTTCAACAGCTAGAGGTGTTACTGGATGATCATCATCGCCAATAATTTCTGTATACTGTTTCTGGAATATAAGGCTGATTCATTTTAACCCTTTAGCATTCAACATGATCAAACCTGCCATGTAAATATTGGCTCTCAAAGTATCAGTTTGTGGTTAAAATCTCACCATTTGCATGACTTCCTGCATTTGCAATGACAACATCATATATTATTATACATGGGGCAGGTTTTAGTGGGTTGAACATTAAAAGCTGATATTTACAATATTTTCTAATGAATATGTCATATTCCTAGAATGGACAAAATAATACAATATAGTAATGAGTATAGTGTTTTTCTGAGTTAAAAACTGAACAACTTACTCATGTGAATGTATCTGCCACAACCTTCTCTTTTCTGGGCTGTAATGGATGTTGTCACTGTATGAAGAAAACTATTCCCAATGTAAAATTTTGTTATTCTTTATTTTCCTTGAAATTTTTTTATCACACATATAGGCAACACTACATTGATCAGTAATAAGAGTGCAATGTCTCCCAAGTTGGAAATGTTTTCAATGATTTATAAATTCCATTATAACATGAGCTTCTTTTTCTACAGAAGAATGTAACTGTTCACTTCCTTGGAATGAACAGTAAAGAAAGGCAACAGACCTTCCAGCTTGGCTTAAAGTTTGCAAAATCTGAAGCATTGGTTTCCACTGTAAAAGGAAAGCTTGGACTGATGCTTTGAACAAGACATTTGTTTAGCATTTCAAACGACTGTATTTTAAAGTCCTTAAGTGGAGATTCATTCACAAAAAAGGTTTCATTTTATCAGAAAATTTGTGTATTGTATTAGATTCATTCAATATAAAGTTTGTAAAACCGTGGCTAAAAACTCTTTCTTTCATTGTGTGCACAGTTTTTCACCCAGTTGATGTGCTTGATGGAATTCATCTTCAAAAACATTTCAAATTCCTCATTAGTTAAACATGAACTGAAAATGACTGTCTCAGGTTTTCTATTGTGGCACTGGAAGTAGACATATTCATAGGATAGGCATTGATCTATTTCAAATGAGAATCAATGATAATCAAAAACATCCTTCCTATGAAGGGTCTGGTATAGTCCATAGACAATTTGTCCACTCCCATGGGTGCAAAGATGCATCAGCTGGCATGTTTCTGTTGATCTGACATCTCTCCTTTCATATTCTGTTCAATTTCATTTTTGGCCATTTTGAGTCAACCCTTTCATCTTGCATGTGCCTGGGTGAACCTCAAGAAGATCTAATATCTGTGTACACTCCTTTGGAGAAAGCACCACAGGATATAGCCATCATCTACTTTTCTAGAAAAGTAAGGACATAATTTGTTACATTAAGTCATGCAAAACAGGACAGACTCAGGTTTTAGAGAGCCAACACAAAATGTGACCGGCATTTATTAGTTACCAGAAGAAAAAGAATGAGAAAAAGGTTAGGGAGAAAAGGGATGTATCATGGCGTGAGAATCACATTCCTTAATGTCGATTAGGGAGAATACATTAAACTGTAATGCAAAGGGAGTATACATTAAACAATAATGTAACATCTCTCTTTTTGTAAGTAGAGACTACAGTCTCACATACTGTCCTTGACCAGTTCGACATAGTCCTTCAGATATGCTGGCTTTTGCATCCCCTATCCAGTACATGTGTGAATCTCAATAGGAGATTTGCATTTTTCTGGTTTGGTTGTATTAGTGCCTTTGCTCGCAACAGCTGAAGCTGATGAAGATACTGTCAGAGGTGCAGGGGCTCTGTTTTTGCCATGTCATGTGTAGAGGTTGGTGGTGGCTGGCATGCTCTATTGTTTCACTGTCTGGATCTCTCAACATCAAATCTAGAGTCTCTCCAAAATTGAAGTGTTGTGTTATGTTATGTTATGCAACTGAACAACATATGTCACTACATTTTCCCCTTGTCTAGAACAAGTATGAAACATGAAACAGACAATCTCTGAGGGTTTGGGTTATATATGCTCCTTGACTTTATCAGCAATTTCTTGGAAAGATTTTATACTTGGATTTACAGGTGCAAATAGATTTCAGATCAGTCTGTATGTGGCACTGTCACAAACTGTCAGTAAGATTGCTCTCTGCTTCTCATCACTTATGGCATCATTTGCTTCAAAGTAAAATTTGAAATGTTTGATATATTGTTCCCAGTCTTGAAAAGAATCATATTCTTCTAGTTTACCAAATGCAGTGGCCAGCCTTGTGGTTAAAATGTAGTAGCTTCAATCAACATAAACAGTGAAAACCATTGCTAAACAGTAGACATCTTGACGTCCCTTGATTACAGCAGGCCTGTACAAGTTACTTCCCATACCAAATACCACACATATCCATTTGGCATATGAACATACCCACAACCCACTGTAAAGACTTTTCATCAATAGGAACAGGCATATCAAAAAGGGGTTAGAGATATTCAGGATCTAGACTAAGCAACCCATGTGAAATACAGTATCCCAACAGGTCTACTGATGAAACTGAAATGACATATTTGACTTTATTGAATGTTATCAGCCTTAGCAGCTTCAATGAAGAGATTTAAATTTTTGCTGTGCTCTTTTATATTGTTACTATAAATTGTAACATTACCAAGATATGCAAAACAGGCAATTTATGTTTATCATTAAATTCATCCATCTTCCTCTAGAAACAAAGTACTCCATTTGTCAAAGAGTATTCAAAGTAAATTGATAAAGTATTCAAGTAAATTGATAAAGCCTTGTTACCTTCAAATGCTGTATAAGGACAATCTGCTTTAGATAAAGAAATTTGATAATACTTGTGACAGAAGTCAATTGTACTATAAAGTTTGTATTGTACAATTTTATTAGCTACTTCATCTATTTTGGGTAGTGGGTAGGCACCCAGTTCTTTGTACTTGTTAATTGTCTGTGAATAATCAAACACTAGATGACATTTGTCCTTACAACAAATACCGTCATGGTGAATTACTTGGCTCTATTATCCCAGCCTTAAAGCAGCAGTCTACTTTGCATTTTATGTAGTCTTTGTTACTTTGTGTATATTTATGTGTTTTCATAACCACTGGCTTACAGTCTTTCATCAGATGTCCAGTATAAGTGGTTCTGTCTTTAGGGTTGTCAAGACACAGAAGTTAAGAACTGGCACTTTATCTCCATAGTCAATTGTAATGCATTCATGTATCTCTTGAAAGTCTGTTCAGAGTATATGAGTACACAGATTTTTTTTAACACACTTAATTTCAAACTTTAGTACTTCTGCTTTGGTAATGTCAATGAAGTAAAACAATATCCTATTGATTCCATAGTAAGAGATAGCCATGACATGCCTATGACATCATTTGATGGTGTTATACTCTGCTACAATTAGATCTCTTTCTGATTCACTCTGCATGTCAGCCAAATGTGAGTGCCAAGAAGGCAGAATACAAAATAAAAAAATTGTTTTATGGACATGGGCTCTGAGCATCACATCTGGTCCATGAAACAAATCCCCACAATGAAAATAATAAAATAGCCAATCACAAACATTCCCACTAGAAAAAGAAATAACCCTAGCTCAACCAGATTTGCTTAAAAGCAGGCTGAAAAACAGTTGCAGGCCAAAAGGCCACCTGCCGACACATAGGGACACTGTCACTATCACTGCTTCTCTCATCACAACTGTGACCTCACCCAAGTTTCACTAATCTCACCAGACTCTTCAAACACGGAATACAGCCAAAAGATTAGCTTTGACACCAGTAGGCCCCCAATGCCAATCAACATGATTTACAACACCTCAATGTCATCACCACCCAGCTCCAGGAATTCCTTGCTGTCACCAACACAACCCCATTTTGTTAATATCACATCTGATCCATATCTAATAGAACCATTCTTCTCAATCTACTTCAGGCCTCCAACAATGTCACCACCATGACCCCATTTCATTGATACAACATTCAACCCGAATCCAACTGAAACATTCTGCTCAAAACATTTTCTTTCCTTGCTATCACCACTGTGACCTTATTTCATTGATACCATATTTGATCTGAATCCAACTGAAACATTCCACTCGACCAACTACACCTAATACTTTGTCGCCATTACCGTCACCTTAGTAACCAACACGCCCTACCATGAATGAAACCCCCACTGTGATCTTGATCATTCAACATGCCAACCCACCTTACCAGGCAGTTCAGCTTTAACATCTTGGCATTAAATAACTGCCAGCCCATCAACACTGTCACAGATATCAATTTCAACATTAAAGAAATACATGTGTTGAACCCCACCAACAGCTAATCAACTCCAATCTATCCTGTGACCTCGTCAAAACCAACCCAAGAAATCAGTCAACTCCTGGCACTACCAACAACACCCTACACCAAATCATGTTCCTGACGATCAACAACCGAAAATGACATAACACTTTATCTTTTTATTATTTGTATAAATGTATATGAACTTACCTTTTGCTCTACAAGTTGTGGAAGTGATTTTCGTACGTGTTCCTGAATTCGGAAGAAGGCTAGAGATGGTTCATTGGCAATGATGTGTAAATTTTCAGAAAATTTTTCACTCACTTTGAAAAAAGAAAAAGTAAAAGAAATTCCTGAAAGTGATAGACACAACCATATGTTTCACATTTTTTTCTTGTTTTTGTTGAGTATAATTTTTTTATTTTTTTCCCCAGACAAATAACTATTTCCCCACATATTATAAGCTGATGCTTTTTACATTCAAAGACAGAACTGGATTAAAAATAGTAAAAAACTTAGTGTAAGTTTTTATCACATTGTTGATAATCAGTAAATTATGAAAACCCATACACATTATGAAATCACTAATTTAATTTGAGCAATAGAAGCAAGTGAGTTAGCTAGTCTTATATCTTTTAGTTTAAACTAGTGTAATCACAGCATTTTGGCCTTCTATCAAACTTAGTAACCTCCTCAGAATTTTGAACACCTAATTCATTCTACAAAGGTATGGGTAGATTTTTTCATTTTGCTTACCATGCTTAATGGATATTTCATATTAATTAATATTAAATATATTCTGCTTTATATTGCTTGCCCATCTTTTTTCCCACTGAAGCAAGCTATATGATTTTACAACACTACCAGAACCAGGGTGAGTTTTAACCAACACTAGTTCACTAGGCTCTGTATTTCTTGGACAAGCCAGTGGTGTCATTTTGGAACTTTAAAGTTATTGTCTTTACTTAAGTAGTGTAACTTTTTTTGAATACTTTCTTTTGAGAAAATGTATATATAAAAATATGAATTAATTTATTTCTGCATTCAAAAAATGTTTTTTCATTTTCAAAATTTATCACTGAAATTGACATGTTTCAAACCTGTATACTTTCAAGTTGAAAGTGAGAGACAAAAAAAATGAAAGTAACTATATTTCTACACTTCTAAAATATTACACACATGAAAAAATAAGATACTATCTCTTTTTTCTTTATTCTCCCCATCTCCTTAGGATTGCAGTATATTAAACAAAATTTCTGACAGTATAGAAATGGCACTCTTTCTTCATCTATCTGTGAACATATTTGTGTTTGGTGATTTTAATGTGCATCACAACACATGGCTTAAACATTCTAAACATGTGGTCTGTTTTCAGATTTTCAATTTTTCCATTATTCAATCCCGTACTGAAATTGTGATTTCTTTATTCATTTCCTTAATAAATCTGAGCAACGTGCTTCTTTACTTGATTTATTTCTTACCTCCTCTCCTAGCGCTTGTTGAGCTTCACAACACTGTACTCTAGACAACATAAATCACTCTGTAGTATCTATTGATATTTTGTTCTAATCATCTATCAGACAGGAACCTCCTATTCATAAGACCTCTTTCTATTAGCAAAATGCTGATTGAAATTCACTCTGTGACTTTTTTCAAAACACCCCTTGGATTGATATTTTTAACCTTCCTATTGAAAATTGCACCATTGAGGTTTCTTATTTGGTCAAAGCCAGCATAGATGCTTTTATTTCTTCTTGCAAATTATGCCAGGTAAAATCTCAGTCTTCTCCAATATTCACATCAGCATGTTCTGCTGCTATAGCCCACAGGAACCACTATTACTGGCTATAACAGCGTGACAGTTCTAATCATAACAGATGCCGATTGATAGCTGCATATAGTAAATATAAATGTGTCCTCGAAGGAGCTAAGTCTTTGTTGACTGAAAGAATGAGGCACCATATTGAATCTAACAACTCTGGCTTGTGATTACTGTCAATTCCGTAATAGTGAATTATGTAATAAGACTAAGTTTTCTATTTCTAGAGGATAATAGGGAAAATTGGGATTTATTCGTAACCCAAGCATTAGCAGCTGTGAGATTCTCGATGAACGTGACAACAAAATTTTCCCCTTATTACTTGATATATGGCAGGGATGTAGTCTTATCTATAGACAATCTGTTATGACCTAGGAGGAAGTATTTAGGAGAGGATCATCACCAAATAGTTTTAGAACAACAGCATAAAATTTTTACGCAGGTGAGGAGGAGGATTCAAAGAGCCCAGAAATGGCGAAACGATAGGGTAAATAAAAATAGAGAAGTTTCCTTCCAGATTGGTGATCTAGTGCATTATAAAAGGTAAATTGGACCAAAGATGGAGTCCATACTATAGGATTGTGGAGCAGACGGGTCCAGTTTCCGTTGAGATCTGGGACCAATTGACCGGACAGGTAAAGAGAGTGCATGCGAATGATATAAAGCTAGCTGAAATAGGAGAATGGAAAGGAGCTGAAACAAAAACTCAACAGAAAAGGCTGAGGAAAACTATGTTGATAGAACCTGAAGGGTTAGAGGCTGAGAGTGAAAGTGAAGGGAGTGAGGAGATTGAAATTAGCCCAACTACCCTTCGAAGGCTGAGGGAGGTAAATTGGACCCCAGCAGGACATTCTGAGGAAGCAGGGATTGAGCCTAACCTTAGGGAAGAAGAGGAACTGAGTGAATGGGAAGAAGAGGATGAAATTCTGTTAGCTCAATTGCAAAATAAATTGCAGGCTGTAAAAGCAAATAGTGTTAATGAGGAATTACCACTAAAACTGCGATTAAAGAGGGTGGTGCAGCTCAAGCCCAAGGATTAAGTGAAACCAGTACAGTGGCTGTAGTGAATGAGTGGCGGTCTGGGACTAACTGTGCATTTATCATCGGTGCTGGACTGTGTGGACGGGCCCCCATGCATGCACGGTGCTGGTGGTGGTGTGGGTCGCTGCTTGAGGTATCACTCTAAGATGTAACTACCCGATAAAAACAATAAGAGAATGATTGAGTAAGACGAATTATTCTCTCCATCTCCTTGCAGACATGGACGAGAGGAGGTTTGTGGTACTGACGATGCTAGTTGTGGTAGCTAATACCTGGGAACACAGTGAGAATACTGTATTTAAGAAGACTAGCGAAGTGATTATAACTAGATCAAAGTGGTTGATAACTTTGATGATAGACCTGCAGCCGTATGAGAAGTTACTGGGTCAGTTGAAGACTGAAGTGGACAAACTAGATACAGCCAGGACACAAGTAACCGGAGACTATTTACAGACTCCGGAATACCACCATATATTATACCCCTTAGCTCAGGAATCCCTAATACTTTAGAGACAATGGAAGGATATGAGTTACTATTTGAAAGGAATAAAGTTGTTACGGACCAGGCAAAAGCGTGTTGTTTGGTACAGTCTCTGAAGGCGAAGTGAGAGTAATTAAGAGGAAATTAAAGGTGGTAGAACAGAGACAACAAGCAATGGCTCAGTCGGTTAGAGTAGAGCGTATCTATACTCAATGTTACTAAGCTGGAATTGGCTAAGAATAGAGGGAGTATCAATTGGCTGATTTCTCACCAACAGGTTTTTAGAAAAGAAGAAGATAAATGTAACCACGTCTGTAACAACCGAATTACAGAAATTAGAGGGTTTTTTGCAAAGGTATTTTTAATTATTAGCTATAATGAGTAATGTACGTCAAACAAGTCACTCTTTAATGGTGTTGTTAGAGCATGTGAGAGCACAATTAGACATGCTGTCGCTGGGACACCTGTCTCCGAGTATAACTCCCAGAACGATTAAGGGAAGTACTACTGGAGATACAAGCCAAACTACTCCATCATCTTAGATTACCTGTAGACCTCACCCAGCAGTTATGGAGGTATTATAGTGCCTTGGGGTGTACTAACTTGTTGGAAGATGATAAATTGCTAGTACTAGTGTCGGTTCCATTACTGGACAGAGATAGTACATTAGAAATTTATCAGGTGATGAATCTTCCCCTTCCCTATCCAAAACTGAAGTGTAAGCGTTCTCAAAGCAAATTTGTGGCTTTCACAACACAAAGAAAGAAAATCACTTGTAACGCGTCAGGAAAATAACTCACGGAACGCCGTAGCCAAAACTGCAATTTTCCTTCCCGAGTCGACAACACCAACTGCTTTTATCGGCAGAACCTATTTTTTTCCATTAAGCCGACAGCCGGGATAGGATGCTCTGTAATTTGCATATTAATATACTCTTATAGCGACTCCTGCGACGGACTTGTTTTTTTTTTTCGTCACAGAATACGCGCGATGCGCTGTCGCTAGGTTGACGAGGTAAGTCGCTATAAGAGTTTTGCTGACTACTTTTTGGCAATCCCTCCCTGGCAAATCGCACAAAAACACGAACTTTTTTCCGGGTACTTGATTATCTCGTTCACTACACTCCCCGTCACATAAAGTGACACTCATGCGGCGGCCTCTTTATTCTTAAGCTTCTCCGGAGCGGGCGACTGTTGGAGGAGATTGTGTGTTATATTTTGAGGTTTCTTCTGATCTGACAACCTCATGCGCAGAGTCTTTATCATCTGAAGAATGTTCTGAAAGATTTTTCTTCTGAGGATTCTTCTGGTCTGACAACCTCACGCACAGTCTTCACCATCTGAAGAGGTGCTAGCCCTACCTCCAATGGTAATTATTTGTTCACTTTCTGAGCACTCACTGCTAGTGTCACTTGTTGACGTATCTGTACCTACATAGTGACGCAAGTCCTTTATGTGTCTTGGTATGCCATCAACCAGCAGAGAACGCGAAGTTACTTAGGTCCAGTGACATGCCCCACACAGTACCGGGTTGTACAACGGCTATGTGGAGATTTCACCCACACGCCGATCGCCCAAGTCATACGGCGTTCGTTCGTTTATCCGTTCAGTTGAACGCGTTGCATCAATGCCTCGTAGCGGACTTTGTACTGATAAATCATGTTAGCTGGCGCAGTTGAGGGCGATACATTATTGTCTCGGAGTAACATTGTACCAATACACTGCCTCCATTATGGAACACTGCTTTCTAGCAGCGATTCTTTTGATGCTCCGATGACATCGCTCGATTATGCCATTCCCTGATGGGACATACGCCGCATAGCGAAAATCTGAGGTGTACTCCCCACAAAGCCACAAAATCTTTGAATAGTCCACTGTGGAATGCAGTGTCGTTTGTCAGTGAGGAGTTCCGTTGGAAGTCCACGTTCAAAGAACAATGACCCCAAGTGGTCAATGATGCTTGCGGAATCCTGTCGACGCAGA